TCCACAGATATACAGGACTAAGATGTGGTTTGAAAAAGATGTCGAGCTTTTGGAATGGCAAGTCACGCTTTTCCTTCCCGTCCGCCTATCAACGTGAAAATAGAAATGACACTCGATGGCTACGAAAATTAGCCACATTGCTGTGGAGAGTCCCGTCGTTTTTCCCTTCAAAACGCAGGCGAGCTGCAGGTGACACAAGGCTTGGAACACGAGCTGTGATGCGAATGCGTGCGCAGTGTCTTGTAACCTCACTTCCCAAGTCCGTTGAAGGGTGAAACTCGAAGGCACACGTCCGGCGGTTTTCGCCGCGGCCAGTGCTCTGGGCAGAGGGTGTGTTCGATGTGTGGGCGGTGGACCCATGAGCGAAAAGGGGTCCTAATGGCAAAAAAACGGACATTCCCCATCCATCAGCTCGGTTTTCAGATACGATCATTTTAGTATTGCCTCCGTGTAGATCAGACGCTGGATATATCCTACGAACACCCACAGGTCACCCTTAGGATACACGCCGTGGTCTCCCCGCTTCCTTTCCGGGTTGGCCAAGCGCTAGCTCCGCCAAAGCCCGGAAAAGGCTGGTAGTAGTATGGGGACAACTGCCGCCCTAGCGGGATGGTTCAGGTTAGAGGGAAGGCTCAACAAGGAGAGCTTATTAATACCGAGCACCTTACAAAATAACGGATCGATCAATTACTTTACGCTGTGTTAGCAGGAACTGAACGTGCGGAGGCACGTCATTTAACGTTACAATCCGAACGAATAAATATGACCTACTTCATTCGACAGCAAACTGGTCCTTGGCCACCACAGCTAAATGTTGCCGGCTGCCGCGGCGGCCGCTGACCTGTAGAGGTCACCAATTAACGCAATGTCAAACTTACTCTCATACCACGGCACGCTATACGCGCACTGTAATTGGTATGTAGAGAGCAGATCATTGGTAATTGCGCGAAAGCGAAATGACATACGTAATGGCACAAGTTAGCATTAGTGGGGATGGATGCCAACTGCGCGAGCAAGGTAAAAAAAAACATTAATGTCCGCAACAGACCATGAACAGAACGGCATGAACAGCGGGTTCCCAAAGACCATTCTGTGGACAGATCCGCTGTTTCCAGCTCCCCTTCATCTCCCGTTATCACTTCCCTGCGTCTGGCGCGAACGCGCCGCGACAATGCATGACGCGCAGCTTACGCTACAGCACACCGCCGCCTCCGAAAGCTCGCGGCGCTTCCACTGAGCGATGAGCCTCCCACTGATCCTGCCAGAGCTCAACAGCAGCCAAGGCGAGCGCGAGCCCCGGCCCGCGTCGCGCGCCGGCTGGATGGTCTGGCGGCGAGGTCGGCCCTGCGGGGCGCGTCTGACGCCACCGCTCACCGCCGCCCGGCAGGACGCCATTGTCCACCAGAACCCGATACCGTCGCCGTTCTACCTGGAGCTGCTCGAGGGGCGCCAGGGCTACCAGCTGACCTGGAAGGCTTACCACCGGCTGGCCGTCCACCACCAGTACATGGACTATGTGGAGCACGAATACCGCGGTCTCTGCAGCACCTTCAGCGTCGGCATCAGCACCGAGGGCCGCAACATCAAGGGCATCCGATGCGGCCTGGGAGAGCGCGAGATCTGGATCGACGGAGGTGAGACGGGTCGGTCGGACGGGGACAGGTTGTCCCACCGTAATCCACGCACTTAATGGGAAGCATGCCAATGCGGCGTGGCGCGACGCTCACAACTGCAAGAGTGAGCACAACTCATGACGCCGCGGTGAAAGCAAGACGCAGCGTCAATCCGGACGGGCGTGGCACGAGGGCCATGACCCGCGAAGGAGACCCGCGGCTGTACTCGCGATGACATGGCCGACCAATGACAGACCTGACCAGAGTAGTCCAGCTATTACACAATGGTAGCTGCAGCGCACTGATCAGACGTAAACATTACGTAACTATCGCCAATGCTCATCACATGGCCTCAGAGCATCTCTCGTAATGCATCCATCGGGGCAAAGAACGCTACAAAACACGACGTTGACCTGCGCGCGCCGGCTATGCAGCGACCGTGAAGAATCGTGCGTCTGTTTCAGGCATTCACGCCCGCGAATGGATTTCGCCGGCCGTCGTGTCCTACCTGGTCAAGGATTTCTCGGCCACTTCGTACAAGGAGCAGGACATTCTGAAGGCGTTCACCATCTACATGATACCGGTCCTCAACCCGGACGGCTACGAGTACACCCACACGGGTAGCTGACGCCGGACCGCCCCTGACGGGCTGCACGGGTGTCAGGGAGCACGAGGCACTGCGCAGTACCAACACGACGTGACGGCGGATTCCCGCCACTGTCGCCGAGGAAATCATGAGGAGGGGAGGGGATGCCTGCGTGATGTCGGATAGCAGACAGGAAACAATAACGAAATAGGGCTTACTGAAAAAATCGCTTTTGGGCTAAAGGCGTACAACGTTGTGGCACACTCGCCTGATTCAATGGCATCAGGATCACAAAATAAGTGACACCTTGCCATGCACTTCAGCATGGTGACCAGTGACCTGGGCCGTCTCCGTCACGCACGAGACGCCGCCTGCCGTGAGGTGCACCGCGGCGTGCCTGAGCTCACCGGCGCGGCCGGCGGCGCCTGAATTTGACACGCTCGGCGGCCGCAGCCGAGCGCAACCCGTTGACGGCCCGCTCGCCCGCAGGACGACGCATGTGGAGGAAGACGCGCTCGCGCACGCCCGGCTCCAGCTGCGTCGGCGCAGACCCCAACCGCAACTTTGGCTACCATTGGGGCGAGGTGCGTCCGGGTCGGTCAGCGCGGGCGGCTCGTCGCGTCGCGCTCGGGTCCGATGGCGCTGTCGGACAGGTCGTCAGACGGTTCGCGCCTATCTGACCGCCTGTCCGACAGCACGCGCCTGTCTGGAGGGCTGTCCGACAGCACACGCTGTCTGGAGGGCTGCCCAACAGCACGCTCTCATTTGACGGCCTGTCCGACAGAACGCCATGGTCTGGCCGCCTGTGCGATAGCTCGCTTTGGTCTGACGGCCGTTCCGACAGCTCGCTTTGGTCTGGCAGCCAGTCCGACAGCTCGCTATGGTCTGAAGGACGGTCCGATAGCTCGCTATGGTCTGAAGGCCGGTCCGATAGCTCGCTATGGTCTGAAGGCCGGTCCGATAGCTCGCTATGGTCTGAAGGCCGGTCCGATAGCTCGCTATGGTCTGACGGCCGGTCCGATAGCTCGCTATGGTCTGAAGGCCGGTCCGATAGCTCGCTATGGTCTGAAGGCCGGTCCGATAGCTCGCTATGGTCTGAAGGTCGGTCCGATAGCTCGCTATGGTCTGGCAACTCGCTATGGTTTGACAGGCTGTGGTCTGTCAAACGACCGACAGTTCGACGGTCGACAGTTCGATACGGTCTGACGGCCTGTCAGACAGCACGCTGTGATCTAACGGCCTGTCCGGCAGTATTCGTCTCTCTCGACGCGAGATTACCAGCATCTGTCGGATGGGTGTCTGCTGCCCTCCATGAGCTAATTGGTTCGCCCTGGCGTGACCTTGCACTTCGGTTTTTCAAGCCCCCGAAAGAGCACAACACCACGCTACATGTGGCACTACTGTACCGTAATAGTTCATGGTGTTAGGAGCCGCATGGAGAGCAGGTGGCCCTATGCTGGGTGACAGCACGTTGTACCATCTTGTCATGCCCATTTTGTCATAAAGCACGGTCTTGCCAACATCGAGCTTGAGAGTGGGCGGACACCAGGTGAACACCGCTAGGAATCCAAGATCATCTTTTGCAAAACACCTCTGTAAACGCGTGGCACCATCCAGAGCGCATGCACGACTGGAGTCGCGCGATAAAGCCACACCGCCAAACGGTGGTGGGCGAACTCTCCACCAAAAAAATCTCCACCAAACTGGCGAGGGCGGGCCGCTCGCTTGCACGTGACTGGAGGAGGTGGGCGCTGGTCTGCCTGCCCCGCCCCGCGTGACGCGGCGCCCGGTCACCGCAGGCCGGCACGTCCACCAATCCGTGCAGTGACGTGTACCCCGGCTCGCGCCCCTTCTCCGAGCCCGAGACGCGGGGTGTCCGCGACTTCCTGCTCCAGCACAAGAACAAGATGGAGATGTACATCTCGTTTCACAGGTAACTTCGTCACAGCTCTAGCTCAGTTGAGGCACGGTAAATAGACAACCGCGTAACGCGTGAAATGGTCACTGCTGTCTGTGAACGTTATGATTGTAAAGGGGCCAGTATAAGCGGCATTCCGTTCCTGATATCTCCTTTCTCCGTTTCGCCAAGCATTGATCAGTAGTTACTCTCTTCAGAAATGTTATCGGTGTCACTTTGTGATTTAGTGTATACCGCTGGCATGCCTCATCGACTCTACTCAGCCCATCGCTCTCTCCTCCCCTCTCCTTCTTCTCTCGCTGCCAGCGAAAGCTTCTAACGCCCCCCCCCCCCCCCCCCTGTTCCGCAGCTACTCGCAGATGCTGTTCGTGCCGTACGGCCACGGCACAGAACGCCCATCCGACTACGACGAGCTGTTGAGGGTGGCGCAGAAGGGCGCAGCGGCACTGCAAGCGGCAGGAGGGCCCGCCTTTCGCGTCGGTCAGGCGTCCAGGCTGCTGTACGCCGCGTCCGGCGGCTCCGACGACTGGGCCAAGGCCAAAGCCAACATCAAGTACAGCTTCACGTTCGAGCTGCGTGACAAGGGATTCAACGGCTTCCTCCTGCCATCGTCGTTGATCGAACAGAGCGGCCGCGAGACGGCGGCCGCAGTGAAGGCCATGATCCGGGCCATCTTGTGAGCGGCGGACGCACCCGCGCACCGCACACCGCATCCGCTGAGGGCGGCTGTCGCCGGCGCCCCCTCCCCCCATCCCTCCCCGACGCAGCGTGGCCGGCCGGTGCCGGGATACACCAGCCGACTGAGCTCCGCCAACAGGGTAGGCGTGTTCCACTGTTCTGGTAGACGGTGGTGCACGCGCCAACACACGTTGGACCAAAACGTCTACACGTATGTGATGTACGCCTATGTCAAGACAAGTCCATACGCGGTATAAAGATTACACAAAAAACACACAGAAGCATGTGATGGAAAGAACATTGGGCATCTTGTTGTCATTGTCATGGGGACGATGCATTGTCAGTTTTTAGGTTTTGTTTTTAGGTTTTGTTTTGAGTGTTGCCATCCGTTGCGTAGCAGACAAGCAGTGTATGGGTTATGGTTCAGAACAATACATTTGAAGTGACATTATTCATTCTGCCTGCTGATGAAATGCGGAAAAGAAAGTACGGATCGCAAACTGAACATAATTTGCCGCATTCACCGCAGCGTGCATAAATATATCCGCCGCTAATTATATATACATATATACATATATATATATATATATATATATATATATATATATATATATATATATATATAGTGCACAGTTTACAAGCGAGTATGTAGAGAGAGGCGAGTCACCACCACCGTTACAACCACCGTAATGGAGACCGCGTCATGCTACTAGGGGGCGCCCAACTCGACTCCCTGAGCGGGCGCTTCGTTTGGTCTGATTTGAAGTGTAACGCCTGTGACGCTGGGAGCTGGCCAGCGGCGGTCCACAGGACGCGAAATGGCCATGGCGTTGCATGCACTGTACATCAAAAATACTCCTTGAAAATGCCTGGTTCAGACTGATGGAGAAATATTATCGCAAGCAGCCTATCATTCAACAGCTGAACATGTCGGGCTTCATGTGCACATACGAAGTTCCACTGTCTATGCATCTGAGTTAAAAGCCATCACTTCAAGACATCTCAAACTGCAAACCATCCTGTGCCATTATGACCTAGCGGGTTTAACAATCAACCCAAATCACTAGACTACACCAGAAGTGACACCCGCACCATCGTGGCACGAGCAATGGACACGATTTCCCGTAAACTGTGCGCGACAGCACGGTACAAATCCAAACTGTCATTCTAGCGCCCCCCCCCCCCCCCCCCCCCCCCAGTCAATCGCTTCGTACTCGGCCATATGCATGAGGCCCAGCTGCCAGCCGTCGGGCCTCGTGTTCACGGCGCCGCTGCGGCACCGGACCCACCTTGAGCTGCTTCAGTTCACGGTAGAGGCGAGCGTTCTCGGCGTTGAAGCCGTCGAGCAGCCGGTTCTGCTCCTCCAGCCGGCGGTCCAGAGCGCGCTGCCTGGTGCGGTCCGGGCCGGCCAGGTCAGAGGTGGGCGGCACCCGAGACCGCAGCCGCTCCACCTGGGTCACACGGCGGGATCGGTCACGGTCACTGCAGGAATCGGGGTCACGGTCACCACAGCTGGCACAGGGAGCAGTATCACAGGGGTAAGGATCCCCGTCACCACAGCTGACACAGGGAGCAGGATCACAGGGGTAAGGATCCCCGTCACCACGGCTGACACAGGGGGCAGGATCACAGGGGTAAGGATCCCCGTCACCACGGCTGACACAGGGGGCAGGATCACAAGGGTAAGGATCCCCGTCACTACGGCTGACACAGGGAGCAGAATCACAGGGGTAAGGATCCCCGTCACCACAGCTGGTACATGGGGCAGGATCACGGTAACCACAGCTGGCATGGGGTGCAGGCCACGGCCCCAACAGTAGGTCCTGGGACATCGGGCGAGACCGACGCAGCAGGTGCAGGAAGGGTAGTCACGGTCGCCATAGGGAGGGGAGAATGAGAGAGCGCGAGGTAGCAGAGGGTCATAGCCAGTCACCATAGTCCATAGCTGACACACTATGGTGCACTGCGTCACACACTGGCACACAGTCGCCATAGCTGCCAGGATCACCAGTCACCACGGGCGGAGCGGATGGGCATAGCGGCGGCACAGAGGCACAGCGAGAGCAGATCTTCAGTCACCGCACTGCGCGGGGGAAGTTTCGGTCGCGGTTGCTAGTCAGCACCCCGTTATGGTCTATAGTCAAGACATAGAGGGGGAGACGGGAGGGTAGAGCCCCGGGCAGGCACAAAGGGACAAAACCAAGGCGTGATGGCATGTAAAAGCACACGGAATCAGCCATTTCTACGTGCAAACGTCTCAGTTTTAAATTCAACGTCGAGAATGCTCTCCGTTCTATCCTCGCCGGTTTCGGCGGCCTTGCCACATTTGCCAGCATCACAAAGTCGTACCTTTAATGGCGGTACACTCATCTAACGATTTCGCGAACGTGTTCGAGAACAAAAACGTAAAAACGGAGCGGAAAAGTGTCATCAATTATCACTATGACAATTTCCACCATAGCAATTTCAAGTTACCTCTTGTGGCTGGCATGGCAGGTTGAAACATGAGAAATCAAATCATGGCTTTCCCTATCTATAGCGGTTTATTTCTCCACAGCTAGCAGTCAGCTCCAACCATCTGCCATGTTTTACTGGACAAGAGAAGCATGTTGATGCTTCTCTCCAAGTAATGATAAAACCATGGAAAATAGCATGAGACGCTCCCATATGTCGAAAGGGGTTAACACGTGCACCATTTTGATGCCACTCGAGCTTACCTCAAGCCTCAGGGAGGAGTTTTCGGCCATCAGGCTTCGAATGTGCTCTTCCCATTGGCCTTTCATCTGTATTTCGGATTCCAGGCTGCTTTGCTTCAAAAGAATCATGTCGGCTGAGAACAACAGCTGGCTTTAATGCCCCTTAATGCACTAACGAACGTGCACCTCGAGACGAAGCCCCTCCGCGAAGGGCAGGGGAAACGGTGGACGGGTTGACTCACAATTCTACGCCTGGTTTTCAGGCCGGTGCCGTCGCTCGAGTAAATAGCTCCCGCGATACGGTCGGTGACCCGTCTGTGCGCAGAACAGCTGGGGGCCCGTATGGGGCCGCGGGAGCAGAGCGTGGCGGACGGTCGCTCCCACCGCAAACGGCGGCCAGGGGCGAAGGCTGACTCGGTGCCGCATGCCACAGCACCAGGCGAGCGAGCGCATGGGTTCGAAAGAGCTGTAGTCGGGACGGACTCCATACAGAGTTGCCGGCTCCGACACGCGGCACCAATGCAAATCGGACGCGAACGTGGAGTGGGTGGGGTCGTTTGAGCATAGACCTAGTCGCATACAGTGATCAGACACAAACGCGTGCTGAGAGATTACTGACGTTAGATTAGTGGGCACTGTTCGCATAATGCTGTTGGTATAACGCATTGACAACCAAGCGCAAGTGTTGACACCCAGCACAAGAGTATAGCAGTACACCCGAGCCCAAATACAATGCTCTTCCGAAATGTTTTCTGAAACTAAGCAAACAAACACAAATTAAAACCAAAAAATGACTTCAAAGTAACTGAACTAGTGGGTTGAACGTACCTGTCAGGTTGAGATTCTTTCTCTTTTCGGCGGACAAGCAAGCCGTGTAATGCTTGTCCAATCGTCGGTTCCGAGGAGCTGAGCTTGCCACTCGCGTCAACAGATGGCACTTGCGTCGGACTGGCCGCCGCGTCGCCGCCAGTGCCCAGGTGCTGTTGCGAATAGTGGACGCGGCGGCCGGCCTCACCAGCGGCCACCAGGGCCGGCTCGGAGGCGACAGGGCAGGGTCGGGGGCGCCGCTGCTCGGTCGGCCGGGCCCGCGGGCTGCGTGACGGCCGCGCCCAGCTGACGGCGGCGCCGCCGCCCGGCAGCGAGGCCGAGGAGAGCGTGCGACGGCCCAGCTCCTCCACCTCCCGCAGGATGGTCGCCATACTCCGGCTGGCCGGCCGGCGGCCGGTGGCGCCGGCGGCCGGCCGGCCTGCGGTGACACCGGCAGCGTCAAAACACTCCCCAGTCGACCTGCACGACGACCAGCCGACAGCCCAGCACGCAAATGTAAATGTCAGAAGCTAGCAAGTGACAATGCACCGATGGTCATGTGATTGCGCGGGCATGCACTGAGCTCGACCCATCCCTGCCATACCTGCAATATCATACACTGATACTACGGGCAGTACAAAAAATACCAATCTTGCAGACTGGTCCTTAAACTGTCGCAAAGAATACGCAAATTGTGCGTTTTGCTGCCAAGTGTCTGAAAAACAAGTATAAATAAAAATCGGCGCAAAACTTGGCTTTTAGAGCGCGTCACCTGGATAGGCCATTTTTTGTACGCACAGTAGAGTACACGACCGGTACAACAGTCAATGATCAGTGATGCCAATACGCTTGAAAGATACGCCATATATATGAATATCATATTACAAACATTCCATCTTCATACACTACGAATTGTTTCGTTCCGCCCCCCCCCCCCCCCCCCTCCTCTCTATAGCTCGGTTCACTAAAGCGCTTGATTCCCAATCCACCCGGAATCTGGTTCCTGGTTTCGAAACCCTGCAAGTGCTGGCTATTTGCCCGCCGGTGGCAGCACCTGCTAAGGTCACATAAGGTCAGAGGGTGGGGCACACTGTGCCGGTCATTGCTGAATGTTTAACTTTCACAATAAAATGCCGACGTGTTGAACTGGAGTTGCACGATCACATAGCGAGGTCAGGGTTCCAACAACAGGCACTGCTTGGCATAAGCTCAGGCCAAAGAAATTGATTCAACCGAAAATTCGAAAAGTTCAAAACCGATCCGGATTAAATTTCAGAACAGAATTGACGAAATGCCAAAAAAACAACCTAAAACACTTCGTTCATACCATCATTTCGGCCGTCTTCCATATTCCGTGACGACGCGCGACCCCATCCATTCAAGGGCCTAGCTATGCACGGAAGTCACATTGTGTCTGCTTAGAGCATATATCCATCCCAGGGCCTAGCTATGCACGGAGGTCACATCGTGTCTGCTCAGCGCATATATCCATCCCAGGGACTAGCTATGCACGGAAGTCACATCGTGTCTGCTCAGCGCATATATCCATCCAAGGGACTAGCTATGCACGGAGTTCATGTCGTATCTGCTCAGCGCATACCTACCCTGTCCGGAGGATTGGTGGGACGTCGAGATATCATCGAGGAACCTCTCTATTTCGTCCAGGTCGACCAGCTTCGGAGAGCGTTGTTCTCCGACGTGCTGGACATCTGTGGTCAGCGAGGCATGTTAATATCATCATCGACGTGGGACCCCGCACAAACACAATACACAAATAGCATACGCTCTCCCGCATCTGTGCACACTGCATGTCGTTGATATGGCGTTGGTTATGCTGGTGTCGTTACATTTTCTGATATGCGATAAAATTATCAGCAATGGGCAAAGCTTGCGCTCACCAGCTAAAGGGGCCTGCGAACATTACCTCGAGGGGTTTCCGATGCAATCTTTCAACAAATACACGCATGATTCTGAAAACTTCGCCCACCAGGTATTTCAAATTTTTACACCTCCAGTACATAGACGCCAACCTGCATACGTAAATAGTTATGATGATGAGCTACGAGTCACGTAATAGACAAGGTAGTCCAATCAAGGTGCCTTTTTGTCAGGCTGTCGGCCGCGTTTCGAGTTTTGGCGCCAGATAAGGGATGATCGCAACGGCATATGCAAAGGCTGTGATGGAAAATTTTTGCATCGTTTAATGTACATTATGACGCTACATCACTTCAACAAGAAATGAACAACAAGAAACATCATCAAGATCAACAAGAAATGAGCGTCAATACATCAACAAGAAATGAACGTCCTCGTCCTTCCCACCTCAGCTTGCTCGAACCCTCCATTACGTGCACCACAAGCGCCACCAAATTGTTTATTTCGCCGCTGCGGCACGTGCAGTTCTTGAGATAGTTGTGTACATATGCCCAATTCGTGTGACTCGATTTACCTAGTCACGGATCGCAGCTATTGATAAGCGGCTACAAGTGGGCAGGTGATTCACTGGGTGGGGAGATGTCACCAGGGGTTTCACCTTCCGAAATAGGCGGAGCAGGAGCCAATTAGGTTGAACAAACCTCCCCCAAAACCGATTTGTACTCTAGATTTCGACCACTTTAATTTGCGGCCCCGATGTTAGACTTCAATAAACTTTTTCAGACCTCGTAGAATCCAAACTTGTTCTGCAGCAGAGGAGTGATTTCCCCATGCAAAGCGATGCGCAGCTGCATTTTTGCAAACAGCTCATAATGGGGTGTTATTGACAGAAAAAAACGTCTGAGGCTTTCGATCACGTCATGTTTTTGCTACGAAATCGTTCCATATATATATCACCTAGTGTTTGATTCGATCCAATGGGTTACAACTTGCACGATAAACACGGAGATGCGGCAAAAATGATGGCACGTCAAGAGCTAGAGAATAGTTTGCAAAGTCAAAACAAAACCCTCTTCTTCACATTGGTCAAATTGAGGCACGAGCGCAGCACGGCTTCGAGAGGCCATACTGGCCCGCGGTAGGTGGTTCCAGGACGAGGCCGCACGGTATGAAAATACCCTTCGTGACATGGACAGCCTTCCGGCTTTCAAATTCCGGCTGTCCGGCGGTGGTTGGCGTTTTGGGCCAGCTCCAAAGCACCAAACATCGCCGACTTCGTGACGCGCTCACTCACAGCGGTCCGAGCGGTGGACAGCGGCCGGACCGCCATCGGGGTGCGGGGGTCATTCAGGGCCCTGAAAACGCCAGTGTGGTTGCGGCGCAAAGCACGTCACTGATACCGCGCCAGCCCCGCGACCTTACGACTGGTGAAAAAGAATCTCGACTTCGCGCCCCCGAGACCATCCTGGCTGCGAAATTTACCATTTTTACGCCAAAAACACGAAGAGATTCATTACGATCAGGGAACGGTGCTACGACTGTTTTATGTGGGACGGCCTGGCCACGTGTGGACGAGAGACTGTCAGGGCCCATATTAACATTTCAATTGGGGGGGGGGGGAGATAATCTCCACCAGTGACCGTCATATCCCCGCTCCATCCCAGCAAACCGCGCATCCCCCAGCAAGTCTTGATTTGCCGGCAGCTCACGCCCCACAAGTTCTTTGAAACGGTTCCGGAAGAGATCGAAGTCGTGGTGTATGCATGCATTCTGTAAGTGGCCAAGCGTTATAAGGCGAGGTAGCTGTTCTTACATAAAAAGAGCAGAAGCCAACTATGAGCAATAAGCCGCTTTGGAAACGTCTGACAGGTTTATGTCAGACAGGATAGGTCAGACGGGCATAGACAGGCGCGCAAAATTTCTTACGTACCTAAAAACATAACATCGCATGCTCTCGACCTTATTTGCATGTGTACACGCCTGCCAGCTGCAATTTAATTGGCGCAGATATGCGCCAAAATTTGGTCAAGGATATGGCGAAAATATGCCACTCATGTTTGTGACAGGTCTGCTGGATTTCATTCAATCCGTTTGGTTCGATTTCATGAGCACTTCATGGAAGTGCAATAATCATGCAAGCGACGTCCATCTGTCCTATTAACTTGATACCTGACGTTTGGAGACAAAGACGGTTTGCCGCTCGGATCATTTCATGCAAGATCACAATACTTACGTTAAGATTTTGTCGATCTGGGATGTAGCTGACTACTCTGATCGCGCTCAGTCGACACCTATTGCTGCGTCGTTTTCCGGAGGGACGGGGTAGGGGGACAAGGGGGCAGCTTCCCATGTCCCCTTTGTTTTCACGCCCGTGCTTACTTCCCTCGGCTGTCGCGTGATGCACTTCCTTTTACGGCGCAGCGTGTCACGGTCTGTGCAAACATCGTCTATGCTAGGCATTATTAACTCATGGTTATTAAACACGAACAATTTGGTGGTGCTTGGACATTTTTGGACACGCACATGCACTTGAACAATTGTCGTGAAGTTTCCTTGCACACCTACGCATCGGTGGCAAAAGGCAACACCGTCATGCAATCCCGATTTTTGCGATGACTCCAAACGTATGGCTCACATCTATGCGTCCAAAACAGGGGATGAGTACAACTAACAAAACTGAGTTCGGTTTTTAGGTAACTCAAAACCGAGTTCAGTGTGCCGCAGGCGTGCAAAATTTATTTCTATAGCACGACGCGCAATCAAGCCGGCGATTGAAGCGAGTTTCACCTTTTATACACGGCGTGCAACATGACGCGCGAGCGTACCGTTCCAGCGACGGCCTGCGCTCGGCTGTCGAACTGCTCACCGCGCCTTCTTTCGCATGCCGGAAATTTCAAGCCAACCATGTCGTCTCTAATATTGCCGTTGCATTTCTGCCCGTCTTACCACTGGCGCAATGCTTGATAACGCACGGCTTAGTCTGATCCGCAATCCACAGGTTGTCGAATAATCACAGCTCCGACATCTTCGATAGCGCCAAGTGTCATTGAATAAATTGTCTGCACATACAATCCCACGATCATCCTCGATCTGCGATCCTACAATTCGTACGCTGGCGCCATTCACGTGAATCGACGTTCTACAAATGGTGATCCCAAAGTTCATCGAAGCTCACGCAACAAAGGGAAAACCTTTTCGACGGCTTGAATGCCAGTCAACTTGTTCTACCACACATACCATTACAGTAACCCTACGGGTTTAAAAACCCACTATCGTAAGGCACTCATCAATCCCCGCATGGAGTTGTCAGCATGCGTACGCACTCCTCACCGGTGTACACACGTGCTGTGAGAATGTCCGGCTCTTACTGCCCTCTTATTAACCTGGACAAAGTCAACAAACAAAGGAACAGACAGACATACGTAGACAGCCGCATATTTTTAGGCTCGGGGCATGATATGGCAGCTTCGTTTGAACACGAAGTCAGCACAGAAATGCTGCGCGCCTTCCTATTGTAGCCGGACTTATTCTGCAGCCCGAGGTCTTAAGTTAATTATAACAAAGATCACTTGGCCCTAATAAAAAACAATCGAAAAATAGAACTTGTTTAAAACTGCTGACACGACAGAAATACGCAGATTACGCTTTTATTATCTGGAATTCGACTGGCCCTATCCCAATTAAATTTCCTGCAAAGTTTGGAAATGAGTCATTTTTGCCAAACTTTTACTGTTTTTTTTTTGGGGGGGGGGCATCATCCGGTTGTCCACACCCCACTCCCCCCCCACCCCCACCCACACACCCACACACCCACGCACCCACGCACCCACGCACCCCACGCACGCACGCACGCACGCCGCACGCACGCACGCACGCACGCACGCACGCACGCACGCACGCACGCACGCACCCACCCACCCATCCATCCACCCTTCCACCCACCCACACTCATTGGATTTATCTTTGACAGCCTGTGGTAACCATTCAGTTTCACTCCAGCATTGAACACAGGGTGCAGTTGACTTCAACAACACGCAGATTTACCTTGCTCCGTTTCTTCTGACCCGTCCTCCTGCTCATCTGACGTGCTGTCTGATGTCTGGTCACAGTCGGACTGCGACTGTCCCGAGGCTTCATCGGAACAGACGGCACCAGCGGACCAGCCGCCGAGCCGCGGCCGACCTCCAGCTGGCTGGTCAGGCCCATGGTTCAGCAGCTCCGGCAGCAGCTTGATCAGGCTGTCCGAGTCCATCATGCCAGTGCTGGTACACCTGAAAGAAAAGACGCAGTTTTGGCGTGGAGTGGCTGATAGCTCATGTGGCTGTTTACTGTGCAAATTGTAACCAAAATCCTGGGGCCAACATTGCAAACAAGTGTGCCATGTCCTAGACATAAGCCTGACACCCAAAAGAGATGTGAGTCTCTGATCCCAAGACCCCATAAATATCCTATAAGAACTATGTAAGATCCTGGACCCACCCTTACCACCTGGACACATGTATTTGATGGAAAAGTGTGGAAAACAGATGTTGGCCTAACCTTACTTGCAAAAATTATCCCATCAAGTACTTCTCAAAGATCACTGCTAAATCAGCCATATAGAATGGAGTTTTAATACAGTGAGCATTTCAGTTAGTTTTGGTCTGCTCACCATAAATGTAGACTAGCTGTGCTGTGGACTACATGGATATTGGGTCTTCATTCTTCTCATCTATAATCTTTGTTGCTTGCAACACATGCACCTATGTTTGCATCACACATGCCACCCAGCAATTTTGTACACAATGTGCATATCCAATAAAAGTTACAAAAAGGGTAAAAACCAATAAGGTTCATGCCCCATTGGTGCCCAACACATGTTCACATTTGTCAATGTTTTCACTGTTGAATTACTATGTGAAACAAATGAAGCCTATTTCATGCCTTAAAATAGGCAGGTAGGCATACACAAGTGTGGTTATTGCATCACATTTCTCACCAATTAAAAAAGGGGAACTGCATGCATAGTTGCCAACTCAACTGGGTGCCGGAACTATTAGCCAAAAGCAACAAATTAATGTTAACTATTTGCAGTTGGCACATGCTAAGTCTACAAAACATAGCAGCCAGATCTCAACAGCATCTTGGCACATGCCTGGGGCACAGACAAACAATGGAGCACCTTTCTGAAATTTTGAGGTAAAGTCCTAAAATAAGCAAGCTATGCCAAGGGTGTCCTCAATGGCCACTGCAGGGTTAGGGAGTGTGCCCTTCTGCCATTTTCACAAAATGTGGATATGTTCCCTACAATCTTGCCTACAGAAGGCACATTTCTTCATACTGTCCCACTGCATATGTTATTATCAGGGTCAGTTTCTCCTCCAGATTACAATTTGGCCCCTATTATCATGATTTCTCCCCAACCCTTATCTCAGAGATATGGTTACACCTATCACCTATGCAAACATGGGCAGGTCATGCTAAATCTCCAGTCTGTAAACCATTGCATATTAAATGAAATATTATTATGGCCAAGAAGGGGCACAACTTTTGAGTTGTGACAGGTCATCAAGATTTTGTGGCTAAAACCATTGCATTGGGGCACTGAGAGCATCATAATGTATTTTGTGACATATAACACTGGTAAGGACACATAAAAAACACCAAACCTGGCCATAAATCATCTTCTGTGGTAAGGGAGGTTAAACATATGTGCAGAACATCTCATTGACATGTTGTCATGGTTTGCAGACTGGCTAACAGTGGCCTACCTGGGAGTCTTAATACTTAGGGTGTATGTATAGTTAAAAGAAGTAGCTCCAAATGACTGGCTCATGCCCACAATACGGCAGCCCGCTGCTCCAATTAGTATAGCACTTTAACTGCCCCCAACTTCTCAAGGTCATTGCTTTGGTTGCGGTCTGGCCTGATCTGCACCAGTGTACTCTGAAACATCCAATTTAAAAGCCATAAGCTCACATTAATATGCCCAAAACCGAATGGTACAGTCGCAACATAATAGGAGCCTGCCTGGTGACTTGAAATATCACCTCAAACCACAACTTGTCATTCAATCTCACCGTTTACATGCCCTCCGTCTATGTTGTAGGCGCGTCTTGTTTTGATCACACGTTTCGAAGTTAGCGCTCAAGGTTAAGCAACAGAAAATGCTAAAGTACTGTCATTGCAAGGAAGACATAGTGAAATGCTGAAAATGAATCTCCAAGCTCCTAGATTGCGATGCAACTCATGACCTGGCTTACATGAATGGCAGACCAATGTCCTCGTAGCGATTTGCGCGTAATGAGATTGGTTGATTACTTTGGATTTTGGGTGTTGCGACTTTTCGTTATATGACAACTTGGTTTAGAGTTTAGCGCACACCGCTTATAGAACAAAATGACGACTTTTTAAGAAACATTTAAGCGGCGTGCACATCATATCTGCGCATTGCATTTGTCTGCTGGCTTGTCATGGACATATTTACGTACAGCACATCATATGTCCCATTTGAGGATAGTTCGTCAGTGACGTCGCCGAAGAAGAATTGCCCCGCCCAATCTGAAAAATATTGCTCTAAATCGGGAAAAAATCCAGAAATTTGGGGAAAGTCTATGCAACTTTTACTTGCTCTTTGGTTTTATCCCTCAAACGTAAATCCAGACATCTATTGCCGCAAGCTAAGACTGCAAAATTTGTAGTACTAACCCTGGTCGGCTGCAAGCTGACAATGTTTCGCTTAGATCCTGAATTCCTGTATTTTAAAGCATTGTAGAATCATCGGATAAAAAAATGCTTCACACAGTGATTTTTTAGGCTTGAATTTAAACGTGACAGCAGTAAACGGCGTTTAGCGATCAAATATATTGCAGCCCTGTCCCAGCAAAATATTTGTTTCCGTATAAATGTCCCCATTTTGGAACCCAAACCAGATCCATGATCTAGACGAAAAATGCTGTGCATCCAAAATCGTGGCCACGAGCATTGCTTTGCAACGCCATTATTTCGGATTTCCCAAAATGTCATCACTCAGGGCACTAGTTTCGGACTGGCCGAGGCGATTTGTCACTTGCACTCTCCCCGGCGACGCCACTGTGTGTCGCAGCATAGGCAGCCAGAGGGGAAAAGGGGGCACGTGCCCCCGCCCTCTTGATCCTTCGGAACCTAAGATTCAGGCCTGAAACGCCTGCCGGAGGTCGCGTTCATGGGCCCCTGCACGCAGGACCGGGCACTCCAATGCCAGCCAGAGGACCTTGCGCGTTCATCAGTGGCCCCCTGAGTCGATAAGGCCCTTTACGTCGGTTAAACATCACCAGAAACGTACAGCCGACTCCGTGGCAACATAGGCTTAAGGGTCCATTTCCCAGGTAGGAACAAAGACAGAGCCAGCGATTTACATGGGTCGAGGCTGCAGCGTTTGCCAGCGCCCGACGACGCCCGACGTCTGTGTTGGCCAGGAGTATCGTGTCAGCCAGAGGCAGTGTTTGAAGAGGTCCCAAGAGCCTAGAGAGCCCACGGGGTCCGCCGATGAAGGACCCAGTTGGAGGGTCTAAAGGTACGAAGGACTGGTCAGTCTTAGTTAGGGGCCCCGGCCTGCGGGGACGGGCCCAAAGATAGCGGTCAAAAGGGCCCTTTGCACCAATCGAGGGCCCCCTGTGTCGATACGGGCCTATATGTCGGTCAAGCACCACCAGCACAGCACATTCGGCTCCGTGTCGTTAGTGGGCCGGGATGCCCACTTCTCAATCAGCTATAAAGCCGGCACCGGTGATTTGCACTTGTCTGGGGCTCTGCATCTGTCAGGAGCCCACAGCGCCTAGCAGGGGGTTCCGTGCTCGCAAAGGCCCGAGCCAACCAAGGGAAGTGTTAGATAAAGCCGGAAGAAGGGCACGCGCGGCCTATCGGAACCGACGATCAAGCGCCCGGTTAGAGGGCATAAGGGTCCGAAGGACTGGCTGTAGGTTACATAAGGAATCGCGGCCCGTAGGGTCGTGACCTGAAATATAAGTCAGAAGTCCCATTGCACTTTTTGAGGAGCCCCTCAGACAATGCGGGTATCTAAGTCGGCCAGAGTTCACCAACATTGAATAGTCGGCTCCATGTCCGCTTGAGCCCTTGAGACCTTTTAAGGCTTAAAAGCCTGTTTAATAGTTTTGTGTACTGTGGAATATTGTTTTCAACAACAGGCGCGCTGATAAAATGAGCGGTATATAGGATGGCAAGCGCGAGGATTTTGATATGCAACAATTCACAGTGCGTATTACTATTTCAAGCTCGTTTGTGTGCTGGAATGAGTCCCAGTCAGTTCAACTGTACTAAACGAGGCCATACGAGCCCACGAATAGTGATCATCTAGAGGTACCATACCACAATTATTTGTGGTGCCAATTTGTCATAGATAACTCGATACAACCAGGTACCTCTTTAGCCCAAGTGTATCTGAACACTACATAAATCGCACACAAGTTGAGTTGAGTCCACTTGGAGCAACAATAGCCGATAAGTCTAAGAGGCCTAAGGCGGAACCAAAATGGCTAGACAGCCAGAACATGCTATCAAATACCCAGCTAGCTATGGGGATGACCCGCAATTGCATAAGTATCGGAATTTGGGAGCGATCGCCATCTTGGAGGTTTTTGAGTCTCTCGATGGTTTAAGGCGAGTTTTTTTCGATTTTATGATCGTATCAGTAGATCAGCTATGTTCGTTCCTGTGCGACAATGTTTTCATCAGCTACTTGCGCAGTGCATATACTGAAACTGTTAACAACGAAGGTCAAGGCTAGTACGTTGAGTTGTTCACCTAGTTAGCAATTCGATTCGGCTTCTCTTCTTTTGTATGGTTTGATTACGTTCATTACTTGGGGGCCCACAGTGCTTAACAGGGTATTCTGTGTCAACAAGGGACCTCAAATCTGTCGGGGAAGTTTGCTTAACAGGGACGGGTCGGGGGCCAGAATGACAGAAGGCTTCTTGCGTTGGTCGGGGTTTTCTAATAAGCGAAAAGAAACATAGGAACTTATGAGGAGTGTTCACATTGAGGCAATGGAAGGGTCCTGTGCCAGTTGAGGCCCCCGTGCCGATTGGCGGGCCCTCCAACCTAATTCCAGGATGGACCATTAAGCCGGACTGGGGTACATGTGCCAATTATTTGATCACCTGCGGCGATCAGGGATGCTGTTGCATCAATCAGGGTTCCTGCGTCGATCCGGGGTCAACTACGCGGGTCAAAAGGTCTCCCGCGTTACGGAGTTAACCAATGTGGTATGACGTATTCCTCTAAGGGCATCCGGATCGGCCAGGAGATCTCATCCCGTGTCGCCAGAATGACGACCGGAAGACACGCCGCGGTGGGACAGAGTGACCTCTCAGCCCCTGACCGGTAACAATTATGTGCTCCGTTGTGGTCGTTCTTTGAGGAAAGTAAGAAGAAGCGTCATTAGCGTTGGATGGAGTGAACCGAAATGACTATAAAAAAATGCACGGGACCATCCAATGTTTGTCTTAGAACGTTCACTCCTTTGCAGAATCGCCTAGAGAAACAAATAACATCAAAAGGTTTGAGTTTGCACACCGGATGCCGATAGTGTAGTGGTGAATGCGCCCCCGTTAACCACCGCGCGTTTTGGAAACCATAAACACAGGGTTCGATACCCCAAGGTGCCAGGGTGAGAGGCAGGCGGCGCCACATAGCGTCAGCAGCTGAGTGCGTCGTAAATCCCCAATGACACGCAGGCAGTCTCGGGTAGCAAGGGCAGCGATGACCTGGGCTGCAGTTTTTGTAAAACCAAACGACGTTGGCTCTTGCAATTAACGCCAAGCGGCGTGTGTCGTGCGCGTAACAACAGCCATCTTAAAATAATGCTTCTGAATGTTTTTCCAAATTAATTCGCACTGTTCAATGATAAGACTGGGGGAATCTTTGCTACAGATTTAAGATTTTTATCTGGACAGATTAACATTTACAGCAACAAGAAAAATAAAGATTCTAACTTAACAGCTTCAGTTCCACCACAACAATCCAGCACTACTTCGCTGTGCCGTAAAGGCCAATCCGTTATTATCATCACTCTAAAAATCGCGCTGCTTAAATATGCGCCTGCAATATCTCCAAATGTGTGATGCTATGTCCCAAAACATTCAAAGCTTCTTCTTTTAAATGCGTCATCATTTTCGTCCACCTGTTGACCACGACCTAGTGTTAGCCACCGGACCGACGCTCCGCGTCTTAGGGAGACTGCAACGCACGGAGTGGAGGGTTTCGTCGCGAAGATGTGTGAGCCCGCACGCTCAGAACTACGTCACATAATTTGTATCACTCATGGGCGTAGGAACTGGGGGAGGGGGGGGGGGGGCAGGGGAGCCATGCCCCCCCCCCCCCCCACTTTTCAAGGTGGAGGGACAGCAGTGTTAACTGCCCTCCCTCCCCTCCCCCTCCCACTTTTCAGATTAAGGTTGTGTTTAGCTTACTTTTGCACCACATTGAAATATATATGCCGATTTACCTAAGTTGCCAGCCATCTTTCTCAAGATGCGTCATCTTCTTTGTTTCTTATTGGGCATCTCTTAATGTCACAGCCGCAGGCCAACGCCACGCGGCCTATGGAGACTGCAACGCCAGGCGTTCAGGCTGTTGTTGCTATGACTTGCGAACGCGTATGTTCAGAACCATATTACATAGTTTTTATCAATAATCAATTCTGACTGAATCTTGAACATTCTAAGACAAACATGGATTAGCCATTTGAATACAAACTTAGGAACCCATTTCATCTACAATCGACGTCCAGGGATTCCTCAATATCTCTAAAGAAAACTGAAAAGCACGGAACTGGAG